TTTCAGGTTGTGCAATCAAATGTGCTTCCTCATATGTTTATGGCTACATATGAAGCAATCACCAAGGGAAATCCAATGTGGAATCAGTTATCTGTACCATCTGGCACTCTTTATGCCTGGGACCCAAAATCAACATATATACATGAACCGCCGTACTTTAAGGATATGACCATGTCTCCTCCGGGTGCTCATGGTGTGAAGAATGCTTACTGCTTGCTCAACTTTGGAGATAGTATTACAACTGACCACATCTCACCAGCTGGTAGCATCCACAAAGACAGCCCAGCAGCTAAATACCTTCTGGAACGTGGTGTTGATAGAAGAGACTTCAACTCTTATGGAAGTCGCCGTGGTAATGACGAGATTATGGCAAGAGGGACTTTTGCTAATATTCGGCTGGTCAATAAGTTTTTGAAAGGAGAAGTTGGTCCCAAAACAATCCACATTCCCACCGGAGAGAAACTGTCTGTGTTTGATGCTGCTATGGTAATGCATTTCAATCTCAACTTTTACTCAGGTTATCGAATAATCATTTTAATTCCTCAGGAAGGTTTTCCTCCGTATTGGATGTTTAATGTTGATGCTTTCGACCCTGACTGAGACGTGTAATATTGACTCCTCTACTTTTATTGACAGAGGTACAAAAGCGAAGGACATGATACGATTATTTTGGCTGGTGCTGAGTATGGAAGTGGAAGTTCTCGTGATTGGGCTGCAAAGGGTCCAATGCTATTGGTATGCCCTCTAGCGGTAGCTTAATTATGCATTTGATTCCGTTATATGTTTGCCTTATCTCTAATGAAGTCTGTTTTAAACATGACAATTTTCAGGGTGTGAAGGCAGTCATATCAAAGAGCTTTGAGCGCATTCACCGTAGTAATCTTGTTGGCATGGGCATCATTCCGCTATGTTTCAAGACCGGGGAGGATGCTGACTCTCTTGGTTTAACCGGCGAGGAACGCTACACCATCAATCTTCCCAGCACTGTCAGTGAAATTAGACCCGGTCAGGATGTCACAGTGGTGACAGATAATGGCAAGTCCTTCGTATGTACACTACGTTTCGATACAGAGGTAAGACACTCCATCACCCTTCGCTTCTTTCGTATTTTCGTTGCCCGATCAAGCTCGGGTTACTTAAATTTTGGCTTGTTCCGTCTTTGGTGCAGGTTGAGCTGGCATATTTCGATCACGGAGGCATTTTGCAGTATGTCATCAGGAATCTGATCAAAAGCTAGATCAACAACCACTTGACGGGTATCGACAATGCCGATGCAGGTCAACATTGTACCAATTTTTCCGCTCAAATTAATCGACGTGTTTCAGCAACAATACGAAGTTGCTTCAAATCCCAGCGCTGACGACCCCAGCTACATTATAAATAAAGGAATATTGGTGGGAATATCTGTTGTATTAGAAAAATAATCATGTTTTGGCAACAATACGACGTTGTGAAATTTGGTTTTTATTGGAGGTGTGGAGTGTTTAGGGATGGGCAGCAGTTATGGCGGGTGGGTAACTGCGGTTATTTATCCATAATCGTTTATTCTCATATCCGCATAATCGTTTACCTGTTGGGTAATTGTCTAAACGGTTATACCTATACCTATACCCATAATCGTTTATAAACGGTTAACCATACTCATAACCGTGTACCCATTTAACCGTAACCGTTTAGTACTGTTTATCCATTTATCATTTTTAAACCTGTTTATCCTTTCATTTTTACCATTTACTCCTTTTTCACCGTCTATGTGTTTTTTTAACAACTTGAAAATTAAAAAAGAAAAATTTGTCATAATTTTCGTTTTCTAACAATTAAACATCGTTATAGGTATATTCATCGTACATTTCCGCATTTTAATTTTTTAAGTTCTTACTTATACCATTCCAATAATTGAAATAATATTTTACAGACGATATTTTTAACTGTTAGCAATGAAGGTAATATAAAATTTGCTAAGTATTCTTGGGTTACGAAAACTGTTAAAAGACAGTATTCTTAGGTTATTTAACTCAGAATGTAAAATATTAACATAATATATATATAATGGACCATGAAATTTAAAGTGATTAAGGAAAGTTATATTATATTAGCTATAGAAATCATGCACTATAGTCAATATCATTGATCTAAGTTTTGTCTGATAGGAAACATGATTTGTGTTAATTTTACATATATAAAATAAATGGGTAAATGGTTACCCCGTTTATAACCGCGGTTAATACCTATAACCGTCCATTTAAATTTCGCGGGTAAACGGTTATATCCATAACCGTTTATTTATCTAAACGGTTACCCATAACCGTAACCATAAAATTTAAATGGGCGGATAACCACGGTTATCCATAACCAATGGGTATTTGCCCATCCCTAGCAGTGTTAATGCCACTTTGTTTTCAGCTTGCTACGCATGCACACAAATTTCAAATTTCCTAGTTTTTGTTACTCGTATGTAGGGTTACATGAACTACTGTCGGTCTATATCAAGGAATTATCCGCCAGCGCGTTGGGTTATGCTTGTTACGTAGAACTAGACTACTAGTGACACACATACTAATCTGTCACAACACGATTGAGACAACAAATACGTATATGTGACTACAATTTATTGAATAGTGAGGTCACATAAAGTCATTGAATAACGAGATCACGTAAAGTCATTGAATAACGAGATCACATAAAATCATTGAATAGCGATGTCACTTTATTAAATAACGAGGTCACATAAAGTCATCGTAAAGGAACAAAACCATTTGAAGTCATCATTAGAAGACGGGGCGGCATAACTCGTCACTCAAGACAAAAATCACGTCCAGCCATCGATGTAGTGCTACCACAACACTGGCTAGGCGGGACAACAAAACTAACATACAATAAGAAGGGACCTACTGGTCAGCTCATCAAGCCACAACTACCTGCAACATCGTCACAACCAACTTGAAGCCCAACGCAGCGGAGCTGCCATATCTGACACACCACTGCCAAGCCGGAGCAAGGGGCAGTGGCGCCTGAAATTTCATTTAGGGTTTTGTGGGGGGAGGGTCGGGGAGAGAGAAAGGGTCCGGGACTGAAAGTTTAGACACCAACCTCTTACGAAAAATGCATCTTAGCGCTTACAACGTCCATGTTCTCCCTTGATTCCCCGTGAAATCTGGTGATTAAAGCTAGTGTAGTCGAGTATTATTTCAAACAAAAGAGAGCGGGCAATTGGCTCCGCAGCTGGAATACATAAATCCTTGAGAAACAAAGCAAACATACGTTGCGAAAATCTGCTACTCACAAGATGGGGCACCAAGAACTTATGTGGAACACTTTTCCCTTTGGGGATAGCATTCTTGCTAACTCATCATCCTCCTTCTCTTGTTTCTATGATCCTGTATTTGCTTATTCAATAAAAAAGCTAGAAATAACATAAAAAGAGTTGTAACGATAGTTCGTAAATCACTTCGCTTTATCAGTAATAGGTATATGATACCGCAGTGGATAGAACTTGATCAATGCTTATTTCTCCTCAGCACCATCTCGGAAATCTTTGCCTCGTTCATCATGTCTGCAACTCAACTATGGCGTGTCACGCCATCTCCAGGTTGGGCGTGGGCAAAAGATGTTGTTCGAACTTGGAATATCTGTTAGCTGCAAGACAGGGCCAGAACCCAAGTTGTACACTGCAACTTCTCTAAACATGTTTTTCAACTCATTGCACTTGTAACTCTTGCGATGAAGAGCCTTGTTGAAATAAATGCATTTCCCCTCGACTCCGGGGGAATCTCGAGCAGACAGAGAGTACCAGCCGTCATCTCCGAGGACCAATATTCGATCATCCAAAGCTTGCGCCTCAAGCTTAACCCATTGTTTCTTATGAGCCTCCAGCTTTAAAATCTCGAATGTAAGGTCCTACGGGTTGCCATACCAATACTTATCGACTAAAAGCAGCTCTCCCAACGACTCCACCAACTTCTTCTTCTTCCCGCTATGACGGCAAGAGATATTAACTAGAATCAAGGATGCGGCCACCATAAAATGATCATCAGGCGTGTAAGGATCGTGTACTAGAAAATACATTTTTGCCACTTCAACTACCCTAAATTCCAATAAGTTGAATACCTTTGGCATGGACTTGGGCTGCCCTTCAAACAAGCAAGAGAGCGGATGCGACGCTCGATGAGTTTGTTGTTCACCCCGCTGACGATCAGGACCTACTTCTTTGACATTAATCAACCAACCTCTTTCCGGGGATCGTCATCGGTGGGAGGTGCGAGATGATAGACTGTGCTCTCGATGACGGTAAAGCCTCCGGAATGAGTATATTCGCCGTCCTTTCCGAACGCAACCGACAGTTCTAAGGGTAACTGGAGCAGGTTCTTGAAGGGAGGAATAGAGGACCGCCATGACTTACAGACCGCACGGAATCTGGGAAACATCGGTTTTAGTGTTCAGGTGGTTTCCGAAGTTCGCTAACAGTTCGTGTGGGATATTATCTGCACCACTCGCCATGTCAAGGATACTTGTATTGTACGTCTTGGTGTTTTCTTGGAGGAGGAAAAGGAGCAGTGTACTTGTAGTCTAGGGTTTTTGCCTATCGTGGTGAAAGCTGAACTTTTATATCCTTGAGTCCTAACGAGAATCGGAAAACTTTTCAATTCAATATCCTAGATTAATTGTCACTCAAGACTCTAATAGTATTCCTCCTCACTTATAAGTCAGATATCTTAGATTCGAATCTTGTGGATAATGAATTTAATACCAAATTAGGTTGTTCATTGTGTGGCTTAACCGAACCCCTCTCTCCTTAGTGTAAAATATATCGTTGTACTAAAAAAAATCCTAAATTAATTAATATTCATGTTGTAGGCCTAAAGGAGAGGGCCAGCGGCAGAGAGTGCCAGAGATAATTTGAAAATTCTGTGATCTGATTTATCACCCTGTCTTTATTTGTAGCAATAAGGAGAGTCTTGCTCTCCGAGGAATACAAGATGTACAATGAACTATCTAAAAGATGTCATAACGAGAATAAATTAGTGAACACGAATGTTCATAAACATATAATTAGTACTTGTAATTTTCCGTGAATATCTCTTGCTGTTTCTTTTCATCAACTCAACGTTCTAAACCTTCTGAGTTCTTACAGTAGGAATTTCCATTAAAAAAGAAAAAAATCGAACTTATTTCATCGATGCGTTGCGATAATAACAAGAATATAGAAGCTCTTGAACAAAAATTGAATTAGTAGTAGAACAGCTGTCGACTGTAGCATATCAAAATCTAAGGCATGCAGGCGCCGATCCGTATACTTAGTTACAAATGAGACGTGAAGCACAAGTACAAAAGCTCTGGCTTGAGATATTGACAAGTACTACACCGACCTAAGAACTTGTATAACCTGCCAATCATTGAAAAAATGATACATATAATTTAAGTGTAGAAATAGCATATAACAGCACAACCCGAACCAAGCCATATATAAGAACAAGAGCATAGAGCAAGTCAGTGGCAGATTTTGGGAATTTGAGAAACGGAATTTTGTAGCTTCACAGAATGCAGAAACCGTAAGTACTGTTAGTTACCTATTTTGGGTAAAGATAGTTACCTTTTGTATAATAGTTCAAATACTGTACTCACTGACACGGATCCATTTAGTAGATGACCACTTATTCCCCTTAATCACAGGGCATCCGCCTGAAATAAACATGAGTCGAAGTTAACTCAGAGGTACTACAAGTCAGCATACTTGTGAATAAGTAATAAAAGTTACAAAATTGTAAGCAGAAAGGTTTTAAATATGAACAAAATTAAAAAAGGAAGCACACATAAACAAATGACATTTTCCATGATGGACAATTTAGGATGACTTAAATCTGGAATTGATGCTCCACAAAGCTAAATATCAAGAAGCTACTAACCATGTAAACTTGAAGGATCTAGACTTGCGTCAGGCCTCATGCTCCAGAAAAGCAGTGCATCGCCCATCTTAGGTTTAACTGAAAGCCCTTTTTTACCGCATTCAGATAGCTCATACCACCAAGGCACAGAACTAATATTCCCCTTGGCAGCAGGGAACACAGTCTCACCCCCTTCTTCAACATCTGAGCTGCGTGCGCCACATGGGAGGAGAAAACATTTGCAAAGGATATAAGTGGGTCTATGATGTAGTGCATCAGAAATGTGAGTATTTGGGCAGCTATGAGAGGAAACTTACAGGTACATAAGAACCGTAGCTATACGTTGGCCTCCATTCTTGGTGTTAAAATCATCTTGAAAATAGTCAAAGTGAGGTTCATACTTCTGTCCAACTTCATAGTGGAGAACCTGAAGCCCCTCCCCCTGTTCTGTATTTTGGTTTAAAAACTAGCTTGTGACTTTTACGAAACACACATAGCTACACTATTAATAGATGAATATCCTAAAGATTGTATCCCACAGAAAGGTAGTACCTTCAACTTCGAAGGCAAAAAGCATTAAAAAGAACAAGAAAAAAATCAATAAGAAGGCGGATATGTGCTCAACAGCATACCTACAGGTAAAAAGGTGAAATTAGCGATTTTTTTCTCAATGTTCCTGATAATTTTATCGCGCCCTCTTGCCAAAAATGTTCCAGAGCTTGTACGAACCCTGCACGCAACAGGTAAAACAATTGTACCACACATGAAGGCGTAAGGCAAGGGAATGAAAAGAAACACAGCAGATTTTCCCTACTACATCTTATAACTGAAATGAAACGAGATAACTACGTGCGAAATAAAGACCTGCTATCTCTGCTCTTTCCGGTTTCACTATCAACTACCGATGACTTGTGCATAGTCGGTTTGGCAAGATCGATTAGGTATTCACATTCCTCCTTGGTCTGCCAACATTAGCCAACCAGGGTCAGATTCCGCCGGCTTTAGATTCCATCGAATCCCGGCACTTATGAAGCATTAATTTCTTCCAAAAGTAAATGCAATGCAATTACCCATTACAAATAAGAAATTACACACAATTATTTACTCACTCTATATACAATGCAAGATATATTGGCACAATTATAACAAAATCCAGGACTCTCATGGATTGCTCAATTCAGTATCTTGAACAGTAATTACAAAAATGCAATCCAAAAATTTCAGAAAAATCATAAATTTTCAATGAGTGGGAGAATTAAAGGCGGCTCAGTTCAGCTCACCAAGAAATTGTGATACACAAAAGCTCTTGGCTCCCAAGAGATGGCTTCGACCCACTGCTCCCCAGCCTCATTTTCCTCATTCCTAACAAACCCACAAAATTCAATATAAGTACCAAATTACCAACCGAATCAATCAAAGCAAAGAATGCAAACAGACTCGTCGCTCACCTCTCGACGCTCTGCCGCGAGATCGAGCTGAGATCGTTGGCTTTGGGGGAGCCGCCGGCGGAGCCGCTGGGGACGGAGAGGATGCCGAGGGCGAGGAGAATGAGGATGACGAAGGTGAACATGACCAGCAAGGTCAGGACCAGCGTCGTGGACGACGACGACGACGTTTTGCGAGCCGGGAGGCGCGAATACCGAGGCTTGACAGCCATTGTTGCTTCTGGGACAAGGAATTGGGGATTTGAGATCGTTCGGATTGGATTCGGGAATCGGAACAGCAAGATCTGAAGCTCTGTGAGGGGAGATTGGATTAGAGCATCGAATAGTCTCTACAATTTTCTAATATTAAACGAGCTTTTGTTTTTTATTTGTTTTTTTTAAAAGATTATCAACGTATAGTGTTGCATGTCTATATAAAAAACAAAAAAACAAAAAAACAAAAAAATGTTTGACATTTTAATGTGAGAAGATGGTTGTGAATGGTTGATGGAAACATAAACGGTCGATGTTAGCACCAACGTTTCAAAGTCACACTTGCAGGGAGATTGGTACTAATTGTGGTAAATGGTGTATGTCGGTCAATTTGCATCATTCGTAAGCTAATTTGTTTTAGTCATTTAAGGTAAGACGATATATTTTAAGGAAAATTAATGAAAATGATTTGAAAACTTTGAGTTTTAACGATTATGGTGAAATAAAGGGTAAAGTGATAGTATCAAAATTGACTTTTTAGTGTAAAAATATGGTTTTTAGTTAAATTGAATAGTACATTAAACTTTTCGTTAAAGTTCCTTATATTTTATTGTGCATGACATAATTATACTGGGAAAAAGGGATCCTAGGGATCTCGTAATCATGACCGTTCATCGTACATCGTGTAATCAGTTTTCATTATGCACTATTTATATTTAATTTTAAAATTTAAATTTTGAAATGATTTTTGATCGCCGGATCCTTTTCTATTATACTGAAACCTATTGCAAATTGATTGTTATTGAAATCTAAAATATTAATTAATGAACAATCAAGAAATTGAACAGATTACCTGTAAAACACTCACAGAAAGAGCACAGGAAAAACCAATCATGCATAAACGCAGCGGGAATGGGATACTACACAAATATGTTCACATCAGGTTGTCTTCTGTTAAACCACGAGAATATGACTGCATGCATCAATCCTGTTTACAGCGGAAGTAAGCGGGAGAATGTCTCGGCTAAAGTTCAATCCTGTATATATCGATCCTCGTTGTCCTTGATTTCGCACTCAAGTTCTGTAAATGCGTCCCAAAACTATTTGTTGCTTTGCTTGGAGGAGCGCTGGTGATATTTCTTCTCCTTGTATAAGTTGGCGATCAATGAACGTGTTGATTCCCTTCTCGACCAAAGCCTTGTGTAAATGATCTGTAAAATTGGTTCGCGTATCCTCTCCTCTAAAGCTCAAAAAGACGTCGTATCTCCACGAAGGAGTGCTGCTAAATGAAGAAGAAGAGACAAGTTGATTGGCCATAGGAGAATTAAAGCCAGATAAACTGAAGAAAAACAGCCTCTCAAAGAAGTGGAATATGCAGTATGGTATGGTCAATGGACTCTCTCTTGTGTATATCAGTCCTCGTGTTTTCTTGCCACGCACTACTATCTTTCAATGTGAATGTGGTTAGGTTGAAGAAGATGAACTTTTCTGGCAACTTCACTTCCAAAGTGATTTTTACTATTTTTTTATTTACTATCTTTAAATGTTGAGATGAACTTTCGTGACAATTTCATTTCATCGACAGTGATTTATCTTTCTTTAACGACGCGCTTATTTTTCCATCTCATGGCACAGACACGATGCAATGCAACATGATGCTACTATGTCCATTTGTCAAACCAATCTTGCACTTAAAACGTACAAAATACGCAATTAACTTGAAATACTGTGCACTTTTAGATTATTAAGTGATTTTCTTCACCCCCTTTTTTTCTTTTGTACTCGTGGTTTCATTTCTACTTAATTAGAGGTTGGCTTTGAGGGAGTTGCCGAAGGAGCCGCTGGGGACGTAGAGCATGCCAATGGCAAGAAGAACGAGGAAATAAATGCTTTTAATGACTTGAACTATAAGACTCTTGCGAGAGAAAAAAATTATTCTTGAGCTACCAATCTAATTTTTTGACAAAAAAAAAAAAAAACTAAGTAATTTGTGTTCTGAAACATAAAAGATTGGCCAAAGTTTTTGCAATCACAGCTCCACACCATAAGTATATTTCACTGTCCAATTAACTTACCAAATATTCATAAATACAAACATTTTACTCAGAAAACAAATATACTTGCAGAGGCTGTAAACCTTCATTTGAACTGAACCATCTGATGATCATCAACTGGTATAAAACACACCAACAGAAGTAGGGTAGAGCGGCGCAGGCGTGTAAGCGAAACAATTCGGAACAAATGTGGAAGTCCGCCTCTTCGGAGGATCCGCGGAGGACTCTATGGCGGGTTGGTTCAAGTATGCGTACTTGCTTTTCGTCCACCTGCACAAATATTTGTCCAAAATCTCTGTTAAGAAAAATTGAAAACTTAAAATGCTTGACTAGTTGAGAAAATTAACTAACCAGTCCTTGATTCCAACACGAATTCCGTTGTCACTTGCGCTCTTGTTACTATCGTTTGTAGCAGAAGAGCTGTCCTTCTCGCCTTTGCCATTGTCGTTCAAGGACTCCTCAAAACGTCTGTGATCTTCCTCCTATACACCATACCCCTTCATCAAGTTAAGCAAAAGTAAACAAATAAAAATGCTACTAACTGCTCTTTTGCATATGTTTCTGATCCATATGTCTCAGCTCGATAGCACATGACATGTGATGAGTGAGACTGAGAGGGGATATATCCTCGGTTACACTAAAGTTTTTTCTTGTAACAAGTCATTTTAAAGAATCTTACCGAGAGCTTGAGGGCTCGAATACATGCTGCAGCCTTGATAGCGACGAGGAGATGCTCCTTTCGTTAATGTGCTTCTGACACCAGAACCTTGCGATTTCTTGCTTTGTCACGCTCTCCGGAACAGCCTTCTTATCCCAGACCCTTGGAAGTGGCCGTGGTGGAGGTGGCGGCGAGAGTGAATTCCCCTGCTCTATTTGCTTCATCTTCATCAATCTTTTCTGCTAACCGAATTGCCGACTTTCCTTTTCGAAGTTCTATAAGTATAAGATAAAGACTGCAAAGTGGTGGAAGAAATAATACGATTGAAAGTCTTGGATATGGAACTTTCAAGTACCAACCCTCAAGAGGTAGCTACTGCTCCAGTCTAACTTTCAAATGTGACTGATGGATTTGGCTTTCCAGGCACATTTCCCAGTTCTGCTTTCTAATACAAAGGAAATTTGAGTGGTCATTGCACCTTGAAATTTCGAGTAAGACTCTGACATTTTGGATTGCAGCAAGCAACTCCCAACAGAACTATTTGGTAGAATGTTCTTAAATCCATGCATCCAAAAAGTGACCTTCTTTAGTGAAGACTCGAGACATGGAATTGGCTCCAACCAGAAATGTTTAAGTGCGACGGTCACAACTCTTAGCTGTGTTATTATTTTATAAAATGGATGACATAGTCCAAAATCAGAGTATGTTAACGAACAAACTTCGAAAGCTATTTTATTAAAAGAAAAATAACGAAACAAGAATGTCGGGACGATTACAAATTAAATGCTACATTTTAATTAAGTTGTTATCTATAAAGTTACGAAGTACCATATATTTAAAAAACCAAACTAACCCTAATAGATAAGGAAACGAAACTCTAATTATATCAAGTTAGATCCAAAAAACCAACTATTAAAATAAATCTAAATACTTATATTTTTCGCAAGAGATGACGTGTCATGAATCTAACAGCATACCCTAAGGAATGATGTCGTCCCACCGAATATTTGCTTCCGTTGAACAGCAAAGCCTCCCAAGTCAGACATCAATTAAAAATTGAACAACCCTAACAAGCCGGCTACCCAAAAGCCTTCACTAACTAATTAACAGATCTTAACATGAATTTATAAGTTTTAATACGTTAATATCATCAATTTGTGATTAATAACATCTGTATAGTCAATATGAAAATTTTATTGTTCACTTCAACGAAAAACTATATTTTTACATTAAAAAATTTTCAATATAAGAACTTTACTATTCACTTTAATGAAAAGCCATATCTTATCCTTGTCGTTAAAACTCATAAGTTTTTAATATTTTTTCATTCGTTTTCTTATAATTAATCTATTCCTAATGATCTGTTTAACTTAATAATTGAATTTATGTTCTTCAATCCAGATCAAATTCCAGAGCTCATGGGATTTTTTTTCCAAAATTCCCAGAAAAACCCACCTCAAATTTCACTTATTTAATCACAAATTCGATACAATCTTCAATCACAACAAAAAGTATACAATCAAGAAATTATGGTCGCAACCCATATCATTATTCAGTATACAAGGAAAATCCCAAAATTACACAAAAACTCCACCTAAGTCCCAGACGAAACGCGAAGGGCCTTCGTCTTGAACCTATACCGAGCAGCTCGAGGGATAACCTGGCTGGGCCCCATGTGAAACTGGCGGGGACTGTCAGTCATGGGGGGCCCATCGTCGTAGACGTGGCCGACCAGCCGCCCGCAGCCGTTGCACTTGATCTTCGTCCTCGTCCGTTGGATCCCCCAGTAGTTTCTGGTCTCGAAGAACGGCCTGATCTTGTCCTCCTTCTCGAACCGGAACTTGGTGGTGTCGACCGCCGCAAAAGACACCGTTCCCTTGTTGCCGGCCTCGAAGAAGAAGTCCGGAGGGTAGAGATTCGCGGCGGAAAGGTTCAGGTTGGCTCCGCACTCCGTGCAGGTGTAGATCGTCGAATCGGAATAAGCCATTGGCGGAATTGGGAAATGGTGTTTTTGCTGCGTTTTGGCGTTTATATGGTTTCGTTTCGACTGGAAGTTTCCAAAACCGCGTTCGGCCGGCAAGGAAATTTCAGAATTGTGGAAAATCAGGTGGGCCCCAGCCAAAAATGCAATGGGTGATCCAATTGGAAAATACAACCCGACCCGCTATTGCAGGCAAATAAAAGTTGGAAGCATCATATTACAGCAAATTTTCTAAAATTTGATTAGCAAACATTTGGATCTTTGAGCAAAAATTAGTAAATCTTGGTTTAGATAAATTGAAGTATTTACTTCCCTATCATGCGTTATCACAAGCAAATAAAGCTTTATTACGGACTTGCACAAGCCGCTCAAATATTATGTTCTCGTTTGGGAAATATTTTTAAATAACTGAAAATATTTTTAGATGAAATATTTTTGAAACCAATCTTAGTAAAAATGCAAGTTAATCTTGAAAAAACACTTAAATACTTCATGCAAAAA